TTTTAATTTTTTGAGGTAACACCATAGTGTTTTCCCTAGTGGCTGCACCAGTCTGCATTCCCACCAGCAGTGTACTAGAGTCCCCTTTTCTCCACACCCTCGCCAACACTTGTTGTTTGATGATTTGTTGATGGCGGCCATTCTGACAGGTGTGAGGTGATACCTCATTGTTGTTTTAATTTGCATCTCTCTGATGATTCGTGATGTTGAGCATTTCTTCATATGTCTCTCAGCCATTTGTATGTCCTGTTTGGAGAGGTGTCTATTTAGTTCCTCTGCCCAATTTTTAATTGGGTTCTTTATCTTCCTTTTGTTGACTTGTATGAGCACTGTATATATATTGGAAATTAACCCCTTAGCTGATATATCATTGGCCATTATCCTCTCCTATACAGTGGGTAGCCTTTCCGTTTTGATGATTGTATCTTTCGCTGTGCAGAAGCTTTTGAGTTTGATGTAGTCCCACGTGTTCATTTTTACCTTTGTTTCTATTGCCTTAGGTGAAGTATCAGTGAAAATTCTGCTGCGTATGATGTCTGAAATTTTGTTGCCTACATTTTCTTCTAGGATTTTTATAGATTCATGAGTCACATTTAAGTCTTTTATCCATTTTGAGTTTATTCTTGTGTAGGGTGTAAGTTGATGGTCTAGTTTCATTTTTCTGCATGTAGCTGTCCAATTTTCCCAGCACCATTTATTAAAGAGGCTGTCCTTACTCTACTGTATGCTCTTGCCACCTTTGTCAAATATTAATTGAGCATATAGCCTTGGGTCCATTTCCGGGTTCTCTGTTCTGTTCCACTGGTCTATATGCCTCTTCTTGTGCCAGTACCAGGCTGTTTTGATTACAGTGGCTTTGTAGCATAACCTGAAATCTGGTCATGTGATCCCTCGAACTTTGTTTTTCTTTTTCAAGATTGCTGTGGCTATTCGATGTCTTTTTTGGTTCCATATGAGCGTTTGAAGTACTTGTTCTAATTCTGTGAAGTATGCCGTTGGTATTTTGATGGGGATTGCATTGAATCTATAGATTGCTTTGGGTAATATGGACATTTTAATGATGTTAATTCTTCCACTCCATGAACAGGGTATGTGCTTCCACTTTTTTATGTCTTCCTCTATTTCTTTTATCAATGACCTGTAGTTTTCTGCGAATAGGTCCTTTATTTCTTTGGTTAAGTTTATTCCTAGGTATCTTAATTATTTTTTTTTGCCAAAATGGTAAATGGGATCGTTTTCTAAGTTTCTCTTTCTGTGAGTTCATCATTGGTGTATAAGAATGCCATCTATTTCTTGATGTTAATTTTGTATCCTGCTACTTTTCCAAATTCCTTTATTAAGTCTAGTAAATTTTTGATGGAGTTTTTGCGGTTTTCTATGTATAGTATCATGTATTTTCTTACAATCTTTTGTATTTCTGTGGTGTTCGTTGTTACTTGGCCTTTTTCGTTTCTGATTATTAATTTGGGTTCTCTCTCTTTGTTTCTTGGTGAGTCTGGCTAAAGGTTGATGAATCTTGTTTATCATTTCCAAGAACTAACTCTTGGTGTCATTGATCTTTAGTGTTGTTTTTTAACTCTGTATGTTATTTATTTCTGCTCTGATTTTTATTATTTCCTTCCTTCTACTAAGTCTGGGTTTGGCTTTTTGTTTGCTTTGCAGGTCTCTAAGTTGTAGGGTTAGAAAGTCAGTTATGAATTTTCTTATATCTTGACTTAGGCCTGTAGTGCTATGAAGTTCCCTCTCAGGACTGCTTTTGCTGCATCCCGTAGATTTTGTGTTGTGTTGTGTTCATTTTCATTGGTTTCCAGAACGTTTTTGATTCCTTTCTTGATCTCATTGGTAACCCATTCATTGCTTAATAACATGCTATTTAGCCTCCATGTGTTTGAATGTTTTTGAGTGTTTTTATTGTGATTGATTTCTAGTTTCATTCCACTGTGATGTGAGAAGATGCTTGATGTGATTTCAATCTTCTTGAATTTGTAGAGAGTTCCTTTGTGCCCTCACATGTGGTCTGTCTTCGAGAATGTCCCGTGTGCACTTGAGAAGAAAGTATATTCTGCAGCTTTGGGGTGAAATGTTCTGTAGGTTTCAATTAAGTCCAATCGATCTATTGATCTAGTTCGTCATTTAAGGACTCTGTTTCCTTGATCATTTTTCGTCTAGAAGATCTATCCAGTGGTGTCAGTGGGGTGTTAAAGTTCCGCACTTGGCTTGCTATTGATCTCTCCCTTGAAGTTTTCCAGAAGGTTTAAACTATATTTTGCTGCTCCTATATTTGGTGCATATAGGTTTACCATAGTTATATCCTCTCATTGGATTGATCCTTTTAATATTATGTAGTGACCTTTCTAGTCTCTTATTACGCCCTCATTTCAAAGTCCATCTTATCAGATTCAATCAAGTATTGCTACATAAGCTTTGTTTCCATTTCCATTTGTCTGGAACCATTTTTTTCCATTCTTCCACTTTCATCCTGTGTCAGTCCTTTGTTGTGAGGTGCGTCACTACCAGGATGGAAATGAATTTCATACAAAACAGGAAAACAGCAGAAAAAGTAATTAACCTAACCATGGACTAGGTCTTCAGGCACAGGGGGTCTCCTCACTGCGTCCGCACTGTCTGCGGTGGGCCCCGTGTGGGAGGACGTGTGGGAGTCTGCGAGCTGTGTCTGCCTGAGCTGGGCAAGAAGCTGCACTGCGGGCTGATGAGGGGACCGGGACTTGGGAGGTGAGTGAGCCGAGTTGCGGGCCTGTTCCCCTCAGCTGCTGCTGGAGTTTGCTGCCTTCCCAGCCCCAGTCTGTTCTCCCTCCTCCTTCCTCCAAGGCATGTGTCCTGCCTGAGGAGCACATGGGAACTCAGCACTCTGACTCCGACAGGCCGCACCTGGCAGCCCTGCTGTCCGGAGGCACACATGCCCCAGAAGGCAGGTGGAGCCCCTGGTGTGCAGATGGAAAAAAAACAGCTGGTCTCGGCTATTCCCGGAAAGGGGACGATTCTGGGAAGGCGCCCTGCGCATTCCAGAGCCCGTTGCTTCTGCACCACTGCTCCCGGGGAAGGGCTTTATTGCGGCCAAACAGAGTTATGCTCTGATAGCTGGGGAACCACCGTCCTACCCAGACAGGCCCGCTCACCGCCCCCCTGCTTCTGGGCACAGTGCCCAGGCCTCACCTTACTTAGACATTTCCTTTCTAGTGAGTGCTCCCTGTACCCCCCAGAGCGAGACCACCTTGGGCCGGCCCTGCCCTGGCTCACAGAGAAGAGGCGCTGGGCGGGGTCCTGGCCCTGGTCACTCTCCTGCCCTCCTCCGTGCAGTTTCTTGCTCCTCAGTCCAGCCCCTCACAGGATTCTGGAGATGCAGGGGTGGGGTCCCAGCACCCGGGACCCTCCCTATGGAGCTCAAGGCCCAGAGGGATGCAGACAGACATGAGGACCTGCAGCAGAGTGTCATCTGTGTGGGGATAGGTGGACATCCTGGGGAGCCTGTGGACCCAGAGATGGCAGCTGAGCCAAACCTGCCAGGGCTTATTTTAAGCTGTTAAGGTAGCCATCCTCCCACGGAGCGTGTGCTGCCCCCTTGCTGACAGGTGGTGGGCTCCCGGGGAAGCACTTAGCACTGCAAGATGACTGCGGGGCCTCAACGAGTCTACCCCGGGACGCCTCCAGCGGGTAGCGACTATGCAGACTCACCACTTGCACATAGAAATGGCTGAGTTTTGCAGTTTCTCATGGGACACATTTATGTTTTACAGCCATAGCTCTGGGAGGAGTTTTTCATCTTCTTTCCCATTTTACTAAGGGGTATGTCTTGTAGGGATTCAGCGTAATGTGGAGATCTCCTTCCCGTTCGCTAGCCCTCCTGGTCGACGCGGATAGTCCCGTGTGCACAGGGGCATCACAGTTCCAGGTGAACCTTTGGGTCTGCATCTACACTCACACCGCGGATGCGCACCCTCCCTGGTCCATAAGAATCGGCTCAAGTTACTACCTCAACTTAAATGTCATCTTCTTCCTGTCAGTCGGGTGTATCCTTTTGTCTTACAGTCGGTGGCGTATTTCTTAGGCCTCCTGTGTGTTCTCAGTGGTGCTGCCTTTACACGTAGACACTAAAGCGGATGCTAGGCCGCCAGCAGTGACGGAAGAGTCACAAGGCCCTAGTGCGACCAAGGAGAACGTGGGGAGCGGAGAGCTCCGACCTAGTCACAGAGCAGACTGTCTGCACGGGAGAGACCCCGGATTTCTGTCCAGGGGAAGGACCGACACATCGTTAGGTGTCCTGGGAACAAATGGTCCTGGGACAGCCAAGGTGTCAGGGAAGTGCGTCATATAGGTAAAGAGAAGGTCCTGTGCCGTGTGTGGCCACGTGATGTTGGGGCCCGGGCCGCAGGTCAGCAGCCATGTCTGAGCACAGCCTTGTGTGAGGTGAGCTGAGCCCAGTGACGTGGAGGCTGATCAGGGTCATTACAGCGACATGCATTCGCGACTCTGAAAGTACGTGAACAGATTTGTGACTGTGATCGGAGCACAGTCACCCTACATCACGGCAGCACTCTGTGATCCCTTCCCCCTGGTGTCCCTCAGCTTCCCCTACATTCTTATTAGCTCCTGCTGGGAGTTGTGTGCTGTGGGCATTGGAAATCCAGATTTTCATATGTTTGGGATGGGCAGCAAAGTGGAAAGTGTCACCGGTCCGTCTGGGCCAGAGGAGTGGTGGCCATGGACATGACTGAGGATGAGTCCCCGGGGGCCACCCTCTGGGGAAGGTAGTTGGTGGCAGAGGTAGCATCTGGCAGGCTGGAAGGATGGGGTCTCCCCGCTCTGACCACACCTGAGGCATGCAGGACCACAGTCGGGATTGATATGAACTGAAAGGAGGTGGAAGATGCCCTTGTGGCAGGGATGCTGGACTCACTCACCACATGCTGGCGTTGGCCAGAGGGTTTTCAGTCCCTTGCCCACTGGGGAGGGAAATAAAGCCAGGCAGAGGGAAAGTGCGTGGAGCAAATTTATTGAGCGTCTGCTGTTGGCCGAGGATCGTGCTATGACATTTTACATCATCTCAACAAAATAGCGAAGCGCTGATCATCACCCTGTTACACGGGAAGAGGCTGAAGCTGGCATTTCAAAAGCCTTTTTCAAAATTAGGCAGCTCGAAGTGCCGGCAGGTGCTCAGCTGTAGAGGCTTCCTTTCCAAAGATTCTTGAGTCTGCACGAGTCGTAGAAATATTTGACCAAGGGGTCACTGGATGTATCCATCTGGTTCTTCAAGAAGCCATGTCTTGTTATAATTGGTCCTTCCAAAGGCCAAGGGGAGAGAGAATCACACACAGAGCTGGAGAGCTGGTCCGCACAGCAGCCTCTTAGTGAGAGATCTTCGAGGCTTCGAATGCTCTTGTTACATCTGGTGAGTGTTACTCAAATAGCAGAGGATACTGACGCACTACTCACACTTGCAAGTATCGCACGAACTGCACGTTTACTCTGAAAGATAGAACAGTGCATTGTTCAGAGTTAAAGGAAGTCCAAGTCTCTGTCCCTCCCTCTCCAGGCATATACACCTCTGTCCTCCCCAGAGACCCTCCGGGAAGAAGAGGACCGGAGCAGCTTTCCCTGCAGGCCCCTGGGGACAAGGTGATCCTATCTGGATCCTGGCTCGTCCAGACTCTCCCGACACCCACTGGACTTTTCAGGATCTGCCTTCAGAGCTGAGCTCAGAGGCAAAGGATTGCGTGTACTTAGAGCCCCCGAGACCCTCCCTCACAGGTCCTCTATCCACCCCTTCATCTGCACATGAGGAAACTGGTCCAGGGAGGGCAAGTGTCCTGTCCAAAACCCGCCGTGGCTGGGAAGCTGGTTTGGGGTTTCAGCTCAGGTTTCCTCCGTTTACACACAGCTCAGCTGTCAGACGGGATGCAGACAGCTGCGGGTTCACAGGGCTGGAAGAGGGGCTGCTGTGGGGTAGGGGCAGGGGAGCCCCGTGCACCCTGGTGGCGGAGGACAACGTGCCCTCGGGCAGCTTCGGGGCACAGAATGGAGGCTGCTAAGCCTGGGACACCGTGCAACTCCTCTGAGCCTCGGCTCCTCTCCTGTGCCGAGGGACAGGAAGCTCTTGCCCTGGCCGCCCGCAGGCTTGTGGGAGGACCCGCTGCCAGCACCTCGGCTCGCGCGTGCGCGGACTCGCGGCTGTCCCAGCGCGTCCCGGTCATGGAGGCGCACAGCCGGCTGGGAAGCGCCGCACAGAGGCGCGGGCCCATTTCCGGTGGAGAAAACCACTTGTCGTGAGTAGTGGCCTTAGGGCAGCCCCCTGGCGAGTCCCTGGTGGGGCCTGGCATGCGGGGCAGCGGCCTGCCTGGAGGCTTGAGGGACCCGTTGTTTATTTATTTTATTCTATTCTATTTTATTTTATTTCATTTTTTAATGGTCACACAAAGACGTGTTTCCATTACTTTGTTCAGATAGATTGGGAGGGAGAGAGCGGGATAGAAAGAGAGAAACAGCGATGTGAGAGAGACACAACGACGGTTGCCTCCCGCGTGACCAAGAGCAGGGCGGGGACGAACGGCCACCGAGGTACATGCCCTTGACCGGAATCGAACATGGGACTCATCAGTCCACAGGCCGATGCTCCAACCGCACAGCCAAACGGCCAGGGTGGCATTGTTGACCCTTTGGAAAGACTTTGCCCACTGACGAGTGCGCCTATAGAGCAGAAAGCCTGGGGTTCAGGGGGCACAACACTGGTGTCGGACTCAGATCAAGGGGTTCACGTTGTGCAGTTGCCCTGGGCTCTGAGACCCTGAGCAAGTTCAGCGTCGGTCCCTGGGTGTCAGATGTCAGGAGGGCTCCAGGGACCCTACGAACAGCGGCCCCTCGTGTCCGGGAAACAGAACTGCAGGAGGAATCGCCCCTGGAGCCCTCACCTGTGCACTGCAGGGCAGGCCATTTCTCAGTTTAGTGACAAAGTGCTCGCAGTTGGAGGACACAAGGTCGTACTTCCAGGTTTCACCAACTGTCATCTTTGCCAAACGGACAATGTCAGGCACAGGCCGGGGTCTGTACTTGTGGTCCAAGTAGTTGTTGACACAGTACCTGTCATTCCCAGCCACTTTTTTCAGAGGCTCACATTTTACAGTGGTTTGTTTGCAATTGTTGGCAGAGCCAGACACGTGGTACCCATCTGGAATCACAGACAGACACTGTAAGGGCTGCCCTGCTCAGCAGCGCAAGGTTGAAAAAGGAGGGAAAGCGACAGGACAGCGTTCTGCTGTGACCTGAGGGTCACTGTCCTTCCTCCTTCGCTCTTCCCTCCTGTGAGAGGTTACATTTAGTGGGAGTGCAACTGTTTGATCTATCACTTTTTAACTTAAACACTTAACCTTCTCCTTACACATGTTCCCATAGCAACCAGTGGGGACTCTGTCGGAACTTGGCATGGCTGCCCGGGTGCTCCTCTGATGTGCTTTAATGTATTTGGCAAATGCCCGACTGTTAGGCATTCCAGTTGTTTAAACTTGTCCTTGACTATACCCAGTAACATCATGAAAATACTACCGATCATGCATCTTAAGGCATGGCTCTAACTCAGACAGGTGTTGGAGTTTTTGAGTATGTACCGGGAGGAGTCAGGCCCCATGGGAACCCATCGCAACCCCTCCCAGGTGAAAACGTTGTCCCCATTTCCCAGGACTGATCTTGGGCCAGTGAACTCGAGTAACACACCCAAGGGACAGAAGTTGTGGGAGCAAACAATTGAAACAACTGCAAGGCCCAGCAGTTTCTACTCTGTGGCTCCGGGGCACTGTCCTGCTTCCTCCCACCGGCACAGTCCTGCACACTTAGGAGAGAGTCACCACACACTGTCACCTGGTGGAGTCCACACTCCATTGCTTACTGAACTATCATCTGACATGTTATAAATCAAAAGGAAACAGATGTTAATTAGCACAGCAATGAGTTCTCTTAAGTTCCCTCTCTCAACACAAAGTGGGTGTTTAGACAAATAATTCATCTTTACCTGGAGCCGTCACATGGACCACATCACCGTCTCCAACGTGGATGGCCCAGTGCTGAAATGCGAGTCGAGAAATTGCAATCAGGTCGCCAGGTATTGGGACTTCTCTTGACTACAACAGAAAAAGCAGGGAGAGTGTAAAGTGTCCCAGCAGCAGAGGCTGGCTGGGGAGCTGTGGACGGCTCGCTGCCACACGGCACCTAGTGGGCACCCAGGGAAAAGAGCCGGGGCTGCCAGGTCCCCATCTCTGCTGTCATCTCTGAGAAGCCTGTTGGGGGCAGGAAGGCCAGGCAGCCAAGACAAAGGTTGGGGTAACCCTGTCTCTCTGCTTCTGCTAGTCTCAAGGGCCCTAGCACATTTGTCCCGCCCCCTGGTGGGGTAGTAACTTTGCGTTTTACCTTCTGTTCTGATACTTGGACATCCTGAGTCTTAGTGAAGGCTCAGAGACATTCCTCCCAGGGGGAGCCAGTTCCTGGTGACAGCTACCAACTGGGCCATAAGCGTACTTTTCAAATGCAAATGAACCAACCCAGAGCCCAGAGCCCAACTGCCTCCTTCAAGAGGCTGTCACACCCAGGCCACTGCCCAGGGGCCCTAATCCCCACACTGGGCCCTGTGCCTGGAGGCTGCAGAGAGTATGCCCACAGGCCGGTCCTCAGCCTGCCTACCCGCCTCAGTCATTCTCTTGCCCACTTTTCTCCCCACGTTCTCGGCCTCCTACCAGCCCAGCGCTTCCTCATGTGGCCCTGGTGGCCCTCGTCTTGGGAACTGTGAGTCACAAGTTGGGGATTCCATTGCGAACTTCTCCTGGTCTGTGGTCCTTACTGAGCCTCAACTAGTCTGTCAACGAGGCACGTGTTCAAGGAGGTTGTCCATAGTGTCGCTGAGTGGCCTCCTGAGATTCTGTCCCCCTCCTCTGGGCACTCGTTCCTGTGAGACGCAGACTGGAGCCTCCTTAGGTACTGCGGGCAGCCGGGCCAAGCATCCGACCCGGTGGTGACCACACATCCAGCAGTGGACATCTCCTCACACACACCGAACAGCACCTCGGTCTCACAGGGTGGGCTGACCCCCACTCGGGGTGTGGGCGCTGGGACTGCGGAGGCGAAGGGACTCCCCCAGATCGCTCAGCCAGTCAGCAGCTCGCTCTTCCCACTCCCACCCCAGACCCTGTGCCGGCGGCTCTTCTCCTGATTCCCACGCCCCCCGGGACTGCGTGTTCCACCCACAGTCCATTCCAGCCCCATGGTTGAAGCCTGTTCCTGTCCCACTCCTCTGGGGTCACTCAGCCCAGGTCGCTCAATCAGAGGCCAGGAGTCATCCTTCCCTCCTTCTCTCCCTCAGCCCCATCCAGGTACCAGCTGCCTCCTTCCACCTGTGTCCACTTCCCTCGCTCTCACTGGGGTCAGACATACTGTCCCTCACCGCTGGGTCCCTCCCCAACCACTCCTTACCCATCCCTATCACCGGGGCACCTTCAAAGGGAACATCAGGCAGTGACTTACCTGGAGCCTCAGAAAGCTGTGCTCTCCAACTAGGGTGCTCTTGGTCCTGCTCTTAACCTCATTCATCTTTACCCTCCACTCTCTTCACCCTCGTCCCTCTCCACCCCCATCCCTCTCCACCCCCCCGTGGCTCTCCACCCTCCTCCCTCTCCACCCTCATCCTCTGATCCTTTGAAAGGTTTTCCAGACTGAAAGTGCTCCTCAAGGATGTGATACGCCTGGGTTCACCCTCATGTCCTGTTGGACGAGTTGGAGAAGGTACCGGCACGCTGTGTGCTAGGGCCACGTGTGCACACCCGCTTGTTGTCGGGACTTCATGAGCTAAGAACGTTAAATGCCTGACCTTCAGTTTTGCGGTGAGAATGAATGCCATAGCATTACGGTTATAATTCATCATGTGGCATTACTATGAGAATAATGCTGGGTGTTACTATGAGAGATAATGCTATAGTATTGCGGTGAGAATGAATGCAGTAGCATTACTGTGAGAATTAATACGGAGGCACTACTATGAGAATGGATGCTTTCACACTACTCTGTGTGTTAATGCTGTAATATTAATACAAGAAATACCATGCAGGCTACACTGGGGCTTGTCCAAAAGCCCACCTTATGCCCACTCTCGGGAGAACTGAGAGGGAGGAGGGTCACGGTACGTGGGGCCTTACCAGCTCAAGACGGGGCCAGCCATATCTCAGATCGGTGACAAACTTCTCGCTGTTTTCCCTAAGAACTGTGTATGTCCTCTGAAGACCAATTATGCTCTCTGCAGAACGGATGATCTCATGCACAGGCCGGGGTCTGTACTTCTTGTCAAAGTGGTTATTGACCTTGTAGGAGCGGCCCAAAGCCACCTTCTCTAGGGGCTGTTTTGTTACCGTAGCATTGCCACTCAGAAACATGTAAAAGTGCCATTCGCCTGGGAATCACAGAGACAGGTCGTGGGCAGAGGACGTAGGGAGACAGAAGGCTAGAGAGGTGACAAAAAGACAAACCCTGCCGGACATAAAGATTTGGGTGATAACTTCCCTGAAAGAATTGGAGAAACCACATATTTTGTTCTGTTTGCGAACAAGGTGTCATACATTCCTTTACATGCGGTAAATGTCATGGTTGTCAATGGCTGGGTCACAAGACAATGTCACAGTATGGTGGTATACGCATGTCCATGGGAAATGTGACCCCTTTTCCTGAGCATTTGCGTTGAGCAAGGGCTCAGCCGTGATAACAGGCAGGGTAGGAATATACTGAGATCCCTGTCCTTCTTCACACCCTGGTGTTTCAGGAACAGATGCAGTTTTCTTGGCACCGAGCTTACCGGCTCTATGGGCTGCTTTTCACATATTGTCTAATTTAATTCTCTTTCTGCCCTTCAAGAAAAATATCATCTCCATTTTCCACCAAACTGGATGCAGAGAGACATTCACAGACCCCTCTGTGCTGGGAAAGCTCCCAGGACCAGGACTCGGAACTGCCTCCCCAGGCTCCAAGGCCGAGCTCCTCCCACGTGTGGAGTCAGGCTCAGGGTCCCGCCACTAAGTGTCTGCACGCCGTGACCTGGCACGTGCTGGGCACAGGGAGGGGCCACGGGAGAGCCCTCAGCTGCTTCAGCCCCAATTCCATTGCTGCAGTGAGTGCAGGGAGGATTTTCCCAGGGGAAGCGTAACTAATGAGCACACTGAAAGCCCATATTTTTGTCTCTAATCTCAAGGACGAAGAGGCCCAGGAATCCAGCCTCTCAGGTAAAGATGTCCACACCTAGGCAGTTAGATGTATAAAGGACCACAGGTCCTCAGCGTCATGCTATCTCTTACAAGGGCTCTAGGCATCATCTGAATTCAAGGGGTTTGATTTACTTTTTACAGTAAATGTCCACCTTCTCACAGCACACTCAGGATAAATGATAACTTGTGAAAACACATAAGAGGCAAATGTGGTATTCTGACGTGGAGGACAATTCTTTCTTCCTGATGCAAACAGAGCCTCAAAGGCTAAGTCGCCATCGCGCGGTGGCACAGGAGCCAGTTGGCATCTGACGTAGCAGGTTATCCCAGCCTCCTGGCAGATGCTTTCATTGAAGATTCACGGACATCAGTTGCGTTCCTGCTCCTGTTTCCCCGCGTTGTCATTCTCTGGCTTCTGTCATATTTACGTGTTAAATGAACGACTAACAGGAGCGTGCTCTGCATTTTCAGAGAATTTCCTTTGGATGGGCCCTTGTGAAAACTGCTTCTGCTAAGGAGTATCTATTACAAATACCAAGACAACCAGTGTGTGAGGTCACAGATGTTCGAGAAACACAGCACACAGATCCCTTCCTGGTTGCGAGCCAGACTGTGAGCTCTGGATAACCTGGGCTGCTTGAACTCACGTCATCAGGGTCCGGAGGAACAGAGTCAACCACCCTGGAGCTGGAGAATCCAAGGGCTGACGCAGCCCAGCTGCCCCGCAGGAGGCGATGAGCCTCCCCTGCTCTGTCGCGACCTATCGGACCCCCGTGGGTACTGTGGATGGACTTGGATGGACTCTGAGCAAGCTCTGTGCTGGGACAATGTGTCTCCCGCCTCAGGTCCACTTGGTGGGCTTCCATTTCAATTGCTGTCATGATCTCATTAACAAATACTTTGAAAATTATCCTTTCAACAGTCCTTACTTGGAGGAGTCAGATGGATCACACAACCATCGCCCACATAGATGGCCCAGTCCTTGTAGAACATGTGGGGAATCTCAATCATGTCTCCAGGCATGGGTTCTCGAACACACTGCAAGAGAAGAACCGGAGCCCTGGAGGTGCTGTGCTTGGGAAGGAAAGACCACTGGGTTTGAATCCTGCTTCTGACTTACTAGCTGTGTGTTTGGGACAACAAACCAGGAAGAGGAGGAGTTGAGGGGGTTGCAGCTCTGCCCAGATCTCACATCACAGTGTCCGTGAGCTCCTACGTAGGCTCAGAGACTGTGAGCATCACCTGCCCGAGTGATCTCTCGGGTCTTTGGGGACCTGCCATGGTCGGGGGTTGGCCCAGGCTTTCCCTGACTACACACAGGGGCATCAGGGGATGCCTTTAGGGTGGATCTGAGAGACAAAGAATCCAAAAGGGGCAGAGGGGGCCAGAGTCCTGAGGGCCTTCAACCATCTCCTCTTTTGCACATGGGTCAGTGAGGCCCAGAGAGGAAGTGACTTGTCCAAAGACTCTGAGTGGATGAGAAGTGGACCTGCGATGTACTCTAATATGTCGGACTCCCAGCCAGCAGTACTCTGAGATCTCAGTTTTACTTCATTCAGGCTACTTTTCATTCTGGGTTCACAGTCCTGTCACCTCCATCCCAAGCGACCCTGCAGAAGGGAGAGGGCCCACCCCAGAGAGAGACTTACCTGCCGGCTGCGGGCCTGGCCATATCTCAGATCGGTGACAAAGAGCTCATGGCTACTTCTCTGAAAACAGTACTCCATCTCCTCGCCAATCATCTCCTCCGCAGATCTGATCATCTCCTTCACAGGCCGTGGTTCGTACAGGTGGTCCAAGTGGTTGTTGACCTGATAGGGGCAGTCCCCCGCCACTTCCGCCAGGAGCTCCCTTTTCACCTCCCCTTTCCGGGGGGAGGAGCCAACCTCAGGGCTCTCATCTGAAACCAGAGACATTAGTCAGGAGCTGCAGGGAGGGGAGGTGAAGAGAGACAAGTCACAGGACAGGAAGGAAGAACAAACGGGTTCTGAGCTGTGGTGTCTGTCCCTCCGAGGAGATTGGAGGACTCTCAGATTTGGCTCTTTCCACCTGACGAGCTGTGGACGCTCTGTAAGGACAATGATGTTGTGATGCTCAGGGGCTGCCTGTTCCACGGTGTGAATGGGCATCATCCGGTGGACCAATGCCTAGGACTAACATTGAGGCCGTGCAAATGCTCAGCCATTGTAAACAACGGCAGTAATCCTGTTTGTTATGTTCATCCTGGGGCTCTGTGCATTCCAGAAAGAGAGCAGGGTGGTTGAGTCCCCACTGCGTTTCAGACACTAGTGTACAACTTTTCATACGTTATCTCACTCATTCTTCTTTATAATTTCATGCTACATATTATCATCTCCAGTTTTCACTGACATTAGACCCTGAACCAACATCACACTTTTCTGGCACAGTCCCGGCCACGTGGAGACTCCACACACGAGCCTGCAGCCGAGGGAGCCCTACCCCCTGTCCGCGAGCCCAGGCTCATCCCGAGAGGGAGATGACGGAGCACACACTCATGCAGCGCTCACTTTCTGTCCGGGCTGGAGGCTGATGTTGGCACTGGAGGCCGTGCCTTCAGCAGCACTGTGGCGCCCTCAGACAGACAGGACCCCGGCCTCACAGCCATGCGTTCTGTCCCAGCCCCCTCAGTGCCGTCTGCATGAGGGGGTTTCATTTCCTCTTTGCCATCACGTCAGACACTTTCACAGCTCTGTCAAGGTGGACGATGGCCATGGAGACCTGGTCAGATACAATAGGTTATTCTGATCGTGATGACCGTTTGTGTCCAGTGAGAACGCGGACTCTGGTGTCCACGGTTACGGAGCGATTGCTCTGCAGGACACGGGCCTCTGTGCATCCCCGTCCACAGTCTCCTGCAGCACGTTGCTCACTGAGGATGCTCACCCTGGGTCCTGCCTCTCCTTCTCCCTGCGGAGTCACCCTGCTTGTTCTGTGCCCACGAGTCAAACACAGCATCCTGGGAGCTCGTGTGCGCTGTGGGAGAACTTCCTTTATGACGTGTGACCTGGCAGAGCTGCTTCTGACGAGGGGTAGTGAGTAAGACTCTCGGGACACCTTGTGCTGTGACATCATGTGAGCACACAGGACACAGCCCAGGGAAACATTCTCTGTGAGCCCGCAGACGTTCAGAGACGCTGCTGGTTTAAGTGAAATGAGACTCTGCGCGCCCAGGTACAGTGCGTGGAGCTGGAGAGCTCCGAATGGGGACGCAGCCTGGCCTCACTGGGGGTCACGGACCTCCCTCCCTGCTGCGTCAGGACCTGTGGGACCGATGGGATTGCTCAAAGGGACACAGATGGACGTTGTCTTGCAGCACTGCTCCAGGAGAAACCAACGCAGGGTTCCCATGGGGCATTTGGCTTGGAATGTTGTCACAGTGTTCAGAAATCTTTCAAACATTACACTTTCAGCCTGGCTGGTGTGGCTCAATGGTTGAGCGTTGACCCGTGCACAAGGAGGTTGCTGGTTCGATTTCTGGTCAGGGCACGTACCCTGGTTATGGGTCCAACCCCAGTGGGGGCAATCCATATTTCTCTCATTGATGTTCCTATCTCTCGCTCTCCCTCCTTTGCTCTCTCTCTAAAATCAATAATCAGAAAAAAAATATTATTTAAAGACGTTATACTTTCAGCAGTCCTTACCGAGAGGAGCCAGATGGATTACATGGCCATCGCCCACATAGATGGCCCAGTGCGAGTAGCCAGAGCGGGAAATCTGAATGATGTCCCCAGTCCTGGGTTCTTCCACCAACTGCAAGAGAAAAACCGGGAAGGTGTAGACAGATTTCCAGGCAACAGCAAAGACCGTGGCTGTGGATCTGCACTTGGCTTGGGGAGCCCTTCCTGACAGTGTCCCTGGGGACCCGTGTGCCGGGGACCATTGGCTTCTGTGAGGCCCTCTGCCTGCTGCAGCTTCTAAACGTTTCCTTGGGGAATGGACGCCTGGAATCTGGTTGCTCTGCAGGCTGGAAGCCTAGAAAAATGACTTGTGTGTTCGGAGAGTGAGGATTTGTTTAGTGTATGTATGTTATGTGTGTGTGTGTGTGTGTGTGTGTGTGTATATTGCACATGTATGTTGTGTGTGTTGTGTGCGATGCACACACACTGGGATGCAGACGTGCATATGCAGGTGGTCTGTGCACGTGTCTGGGGGGGGTGCACACAAAGCCTGCATGTAGAACCCCTTCCCTGATGGGGCCCCAGCAGCAACGTCAGACAGGTGAGCCTGAGCTTGTCCTTCACTCTGACCTCCTGTCTCCATCACGCCGTGTGCCCCGGCTGTGCAAGGCCGCACGGGCCTCTCACCCTCTGCCCAGCCCTGGACACTCCCCCTGGAGACGCCGACCTGACACACGGGAGCTGACACACACGGGGCCCTGGTGGAGTGCCCAGGTTCCTGCCCTGGGAGGGGCTGACACATTCACACCAGGCTCTGCTGGCACATTTCCCACCATACCCCAACTTCCCCACAGCCCAAGGGGAGGGAAACACTCATCTGCTCAAGTGGGGAAACTGAGGACAGAGAGGGGGAGGAACTTGCCCAAGAACACGCAGCTGGGAAGCGGCAACGCTGGGTCCTCTCTGCCAAGTCTCTCCCTGGTCCTGTTTCCTCCCTGCCTCCCCGGCCACACCTGGCCCTGCTCCTCAGTGTCCCCGAACAGGGCGCCGCAGCTCCGTGATTGGAGAATTCTTCTGTCTTCATCTTCCTTGTGCCCGCCCCACTCAGCGAATGACAATTCTCCGCCAGCCCATCTTCCAGGCGCCAGATGAGACCAGGGGTCAGTTCCCTTGGTCCTCATTCCAGTTACTGTCTAACAGGAGCTGACGCTGCGAGTTTCCCTCACTCCACTTCCTCGTTCTTCTCCCGCCAGCACGTGGTTCAGATGAGCCCAGCTCCCGATTTTGTGGCGCCACAGTTTCCTGTCCCGCCCCTGCCTCCTGTCCTTACCACTCCACGTCTAGTCTCCCCAAGACCCCGGTGGCCTTCTCAAAGGGCACATCCTACATCCACAGGGCACAGGCGTGCCCTTGGGCAGCTCCCAGGCCCCTGACGCCCACCCT